CTAAACATCCCCTCTTCTGACCAACAAGCGTGACTACTGCTTCTACATTAAAGGCAACTGCTCTCATCTTTTTGTTTAAATTGGGGTTTAGTTGTTTTACAACGTTGTGTTGGTTTTTGCTGTAAAATGGAGTGAATCAGCTGTATGTACGTATACACGTACCCCTTCCCTCCCAAACCTTCCTCCCACTCCCCTACCTCACCCCTCTAGGTCATCACAGAGCACCGAGCTGAGTTTCCTGGGCCATAGAGCAGGTTCCCACTAGCTAGCTATTTTACTCATCCACTCCCCTCATCCTAATCTTCCTAACACCTAGGTAAGTTATGAAGATGCCCAATTCCTGAATTGCCCTGCTTCCTTAAACCCTTGTAATCACCCAGCACAAGGCCAGATCCTATAATAGGCCCCTCTCAACTGCCTCTTACCAAGGCACGCACACCTCCTGAGCTGCATGATCTCCCCTGCTGCGGCAAGTAAGACCTAGTTTGTTTGACTCTCATCTTGTTTCTTGCGGTTCTTGGCTGGTAAGTTTCAATACAGGGCAATCCTGATATTAACAATGGGCCTTGGCGTCAGTCTGGGGGTCCCTTTCATGGCTTTGGATCACCATAACCATGCTGCGTAGGGGTCGTTAGTTCACAAAAAGCAAGGGTCCCAGTTTGAGATTACTGTCAGTGAGTGACTGTGGCCACCAGCCAGCTAACTGTGTGATGGCCTAAGCCACCTCACCCACACTCCTCCGCCTCTCTGAATATATACACCAGGTGGCTCTGGGTGTTACTGTGAGCAGTGGCACAGTGCAGCCTGTTTTCTTTCTTAGAGTTCCCCTTATTCCACAGAAAGAAACAGAATACTCCTCATAACCTAATAGATACCATTACTATTTCAGATAGCTTTCTTTCTTATAGTTTCCATGAGTTCACAAAAAGAAACAAAACATTCACCATAATCCAATAAATACCATCTCAGATAGGTTTCTTTGAGTTTCCATTAGTTCGTGAAAAGAAACAAAATTTTCACCATAACCTAATAAGTATCATTTCAGATAGAAACATATTTCCCAATTTTAGAAACAATCATGTGACTTTTTTTCATGTGTGACTTTTAGAAAACTAGTTATTTTTTTTTAAGTTCTGATTTATAGACAGCCAAAACTAAAATTTCACCCTTAAAGGTCAAGTCCAGTTACAATCAGGACACTAAATAAAAAACTGTAATAACAGCAACGCATTTTTGAGCACTTACTATGTGCCTGGATTCATGCTATTTTACATACATGTATTATCTCATTCCATTTATGCAACAAGCCTTTAAGAACCAATATCCCCATTTTACAGGTGAGAAAACAGAGGTTCAAAAAGGCTAACTGATTTACCTCGGTCACAGAGCTACAGGTGCCAGGGCCTAGTTTTGAATCCAAATGTCTATGATTCCAAACTCTAAGATCACCAGGTAGATTGTTTCTCCTGGGCATGAGTATACAATACTGACCTTGAAGACAATATAAGATTGGATTATAATGAAAGCAGTTAAAAAATATAAACAAGCTATAGAGCACTATTTAAAGTGTCTGATAATATTAGAATTTAATATTGCCACACCAAGTTTTTTACTATCCCATTTACAGCCAAAGCTACCAAGAAAAAAGTCACCTTGCACAAGCTACTCTCTGTATCAAGGAATATCCACATTTTAAAAACTAGCTGGTATATAAATTATCTGAAGGTAGCCTTGGATTTTTATAAGCTTCTCCTTTCTGAATTATCTTCTTTAAAAAAAGGAAAATAATGCATGTGTGAACAATGCCTGTGTGAAGAGAAATTTCAATGGGAAAACATTATCCCTCCTCCCCAATAAATAAAAATAAAAGGACCTTTAAAAGACGCTTTCACTAACAGTTCTTTTCTGAACAAAATAAACAAGAGCAAAGGGCACCTTGACTACTACTTAGGAAATAAAATCAGAACACAGGAAAATCTGTAATTCTAATCACATTTACACCTTCTCTCCTTTTTTACATTTCTCATCCAAACATCCTTAGGAGCTCAATAGGCTTAAAAGAATTGGAGCAGGGTAGAGAACAAAGGTGAGTGGAATCTGAGAAAGAGCTTAAATGGCTGTTCTCACCCTTTTAGTAATTTCAAATTGGGTAACATAGCTTTCAGAAGATGTAAAAGTCACAAATATAGGATTAAATGGTAAGAACTCATTCTACCTGCTTATATTTTTTAAATGGCATTTTGGCCAGGCATCTCAGGAATTAACCACTTGTAGACAAGAAATGCAAGAAAGCACTAAAAAAAATTTTAACTTTCAAGGAAAACAAATATCAAATTTAAATGAACTAGCTTTAGTCAATAAAAGTCTATGTGCTAAACACATGTACTTGCTAACAAGAATATTAATATTTCTATTCTTATGTGAGAATGACTACGTAGATATTAACTATGTTTTCTCTTGAGATTGAGGGCAATTTTAGAAAATAAGGTTCAACTACTATACTCAATCAAATTAAATGGTATAGATCATATATAAATACAAAAATAAAGAAAAGCATTTATGAGTCATGTGGTATGCGTAATTCACTCAAATGGGGGAATGAAAAAAAATTAGTGGAAAGATAAGAGACATCAATGTTTAAAGAAAGTTTAATGTAATTATTCAAATAAAAAATAATAACAGAGAAACAAAAAATTCAAAATTACATCGAATTCAGATGTGAGTGTTTGTTATTGGGTGATTCTGATTCAGAATAATACTTTCATGTGACTTTTTCTTACTGCAAATGTCAAAGGAATTCAGCACTTTTTTCAGCAGCACCACTGATGTCCCTAAGAGTTCAGCCCTGCATGGCCCCTCCGTAGGCACTGCTATGACCCCACCATCGTCTTAAGTCACAGACAAAGTACTAACAATGCGGAGACAAACCAGAATGTCTTAGAAAAGAAGATGCCTGCCAGCCTGCCTCTTTTTTGTGCCATGTGTATCAAACACAAATAAGTACAACGATTTCCTTCTACTGCAGGGCCCAGCTTCAGTTTCTGTAAAATGTTATGCCAGTGACCGATACTCTGCAAAGTTCTTCTTCTAAAGAGATGAAACACACAGGGTTCTAGAATTGCAATACCTTCTAGTCACTGTATTACATTTAGCAAGTACCAGAAACACCGAGATACGAGAGGGGTGGAGAAATCAAGTCCTTAACCGTCCACATTTGTGAACATAGCCAAAATTATGGGGTGGGGGGCAAAATCAAGTAATTCAGCTGAGGATTTCATGCCCAATGAAATGCCACGCCCCCATCCCCGCCGCCCCAACACAGAGAGTCACTTAAGCTGCTTTAGCTACTGTCTAGTGAGGTTTCGTTGTTTTGTTTTTTAATGAAACAAATGCACTGAAATAAAACGACCGGTTTTACAAAGGGGGTGGTATCCTTTGAGGACAGAACTGCCCTAAGCTGAGAGCATCTATACTGTTTCAACTAGTAAAAGTGCCTAGCACCGAACAGGTATCCAAATACATATTTGTGTGTTTGTTTAAAAAACTAGTCATGTAAGCTAAAATGGATTCACCGTGCCCAACGGCTCAGATTTTCCTTGTGGGATGACTCTAGAACGGAGTTGATAAGCAGCAAAGAAATCAAGCGAAAGAGCTACGGCTCCCCAGTGCTAGCAGCAAGTCTCACCCTACACAGGCAAACAGAACAGATTTAGACCCAAGCATCCTCCACAAATAAACTGTCCAGCCAATAAGCTCAGAGCATTGGCAATTAGCCTCGTAATTAAGTGCACTGCTCCAGTAAGATCTTAACTCCAGACACCTGCTGTTGCGTTTAACAACTAAGATCTATTCTTCCAGACCGAATGTTACTGGAAATCCGCCGGCAGAAGCACGGACGGAGCGCCAAACAGCGGATAAGGGTGCAGGCGCACGCGAGCAGCAGAATCGATACTCGCCGCATTCACTGTATTCCTGCCCCTTCAGTCTCTGCCTGGTAGATCTCGCCCGTGTTAAGTGGCTCCCCAGTGCACTCTGATCGCCTGTTGCCAGGACATCGTTCAGGCATTGCAACTACGCAGTGGTTCCGAGAGGCACAGTGAGTTGGTTCCTGCAAGGAGGGACTGGATGCCCGGGCGTAAAGAGGGGGGGCTCAGAGTTACACCAGGATGAGTGCATGGGGTCCGAGTCCTCATAACAGAGGAGACCGGCCGCCCTGGTCAGTACCCCATTCTCCAGCAAAGGAGGATAATGCAGGTTTGTGCTGTTAGTATCAAACTTGGAGCCACCAACCCAACTCCATCCACCGTGTGAGAAAGCAAACCGAGGCCCCCCGGCGGGGCACTAGGGAAGTTCCCACTCGTAACAGAATAGCGGTCAGGCAGCGCTGTCCCCCGCTGTCAGCTCTGCTGGCCTCTTGCAACGCGTCAGTGAGACTAACGGAGCCTGGCGGGAAGCGAACATCCGGAGCTCGACTCAGCCGCAGGCGGAGTCCTGGAGCTCCCGGAGCCGCGCTGCACTCGGGATGATCACACCGCCCTTCTTCCGGAGGCACCCTGTGCGGTCGGAGGATCTGAAAGGTCAGCTTCCCCCAGGAAAGGCCATCCCGAGAGCTTGAGCAGCGCAGGGTCCACGCTCCGGACGCCCCAGCCCTCGCCCAGGCTCCCAGCCCAGCGCCCACGGTCCGCGCCTTACCTGCCCGCGGCGAATCCGGCAGCCCCTTGACAGGTCCCACCAGGCGCCCCTGGAAAAGTTTCCGAACTTCTTCGCAGCTCTGCACGCCCTCGCTTCGGATAGACCCCACGAGAGCCAGCAGGAGGAGACAGCGAGAGCCCACGCGCCAGGTCTGCGCGTCCATCCTCGGTGTCCCGGTCACTCCTTCCCTCGCCGTGGAACCCACTCTCCCCGCGCGCCTGGCGCTGCAGGCGTTGGAAAAGGCTCGGGGGTGCGATCCGGCGGCGGGCGGGAGTCCAGCCGCTCTGGGACCCCGGCTCCACCTTCTCCTAAGGTGCCCCGAGACAGACCGCGTTGTTCTCGGGCAGAGCGCCGCCGGGTCTCCCTCTCCGACGGGAGCGAGATGGCGCGGCGCAAGCGAGCGAGGACAACGGCAGGAGCCGCACGGAGCCCGCGAGCTTTCGGCTCTGGCCGTCGCCGCGGGCTGCACTGCCAGCTGCCAACCTGAGACTCGCCCGCGGGTCGCGCTCCGCGGACAGGCCCCGCCCCGTGGCTAAGCCACGCCCCCGCGCGACGCCACGGGCCGCACCCACCCCGCTGCTGAGCCGCTGTCCACGCGGCCCTGGCTGGAGAAAGCCCAGAGCGGCGTTGCCTGGAGGAAACCCGACCTGCCTCTCCTCATCCATTCCTGGGACCAGCAGTCTGATGAAAAGAAGAGCTCAGAGAAGACAAGATATGAGAAATACCAACTAGAACTAAGATGAAATACTTCTCCATAAATCAAGGTCTTCAGTGCACAGGAATTTGTGTTTAAATTGCATGAAATGGTATCTGGGCACAATACAAAATAAAAAAAAATTATACTTAAAGATCTCAATTGTGAGGCTCGATAGCACTTAGTTTTAAAAGAGTGTACAGGAGAAGCTATTTTTCAAAAATTGTTTTATGTTGCCACTTTGGAATATTTTTAGTTAGTATTACGATTTTCTGAAAGAATTTAGAAGTCATAAGAATTACATGTAAACAGTATAACGTCCTTGCTTTGACAGTAAAATCCAGTTTCTTCTCTTATTACCCGATAGCATCATATTTTGCTTCTGTACTTTTTATCTATAAGGGCCGTTCTGAGCTTTACCACTTCTCTAATTTTAAAAACATTTCTCAAAGATTTATAAGGCAAAGTGCTCAGAAGAGTTTCTCATAAGCAAGAGACAAAAATGAAGACTTTAAACGATTTTAAAATGACAATGGAATTTTGTCAATTTACAAAAGGAATGCATTAGAAACCAAAAGCCAAAGGACCAGGCGTATTTCTGAAATGTGATTGACTCAACATAAGCCTGTGAATGACAAGAGTGTTTCATCTTCTGTAGGCACCTGAAGTCCTCCTCCAGTAAAACAAAACTACTTAAAAGCATCAGGCCAGGGGAACTATAAATGCTCTAACCACTTAAAGGGAATTTATTCTCATATTTGAACTTTTGCCAAGAAATAGAGATGAATAATGTTGTCTTAGTTAAGTGTCATGAGACTTTTAATGACCAGTGACATCAAAGGCAGAGCTTTCAGCAGTAGATCGCTTGCTCTAAAACCATCCCAGGGCAACGGCTGAGATACTTCTTCAGGGAGATAGTGCTTACTTGGCTTTTGACATCAATTCCACGAATACTAGATATTTTTTAAGATGCTTTCTCAATAAATGAGAATAAAAAAATAGCTTAATTCAAAGACTTCAAGCAAAACTATATATGTATCCTGATGGGGGAAGGGTGGATACTAGCCCCATGAATCTTCTTCCTTAGCCACCAAGGATGGAAAGACTGCTTGGAAGTCAGCTCTACCTACAAGAAAAAAAAGAAGAATAACCATGAGAACGTGTACTGTGCTTAGATGCCAAACAATATTGTAAGTGCTTTTTAAGGGTACTAAGTCATTCATTTAATCTTTATAACAACCCTATAAAGTAGTTACCACTATCATCACTCTTTTACCGACGAGGTAACAGGCTCAGAGAGGTGCAGTGATTTGCCCAAGGCCAACATAGCTATTAAATGGTAGAACCAGAAATCAAACCCAGGCCTTGAAATCCTGAATGTTTGCTATTAACCATGGGCTCTCCACAACTACTCCATTCCATACCAAAGAACCTATTGGGTTACATTCAGCAAAATATGTTACTTATATGTTAAGTCCTTATATGTTAATATTAAGGCTAGTAAGTCCCTAGGTTTTCCCTTTTTTAATGTTTATTTGATTTTGGCTGTGCTGGGTCTTCGTTGCCGTGCGCTGGCTTTCTCTAGTTTCCCCAAGCGGGGTCTACTCTCTGGTTGCTGTCGTGGGCTTCTCATTGAAGTGGCTTCTCATTGCATGAGCTCTAGGGTGCAAGGGCTTCAGTAGTTGTGACACATGGGCCCAGATGCCCCATGGTATGTGGGATCTTCCCAAACCAGGGATCAAACCCACATCCCCTGCACTGGCAGGTGGACTCTCAACCACTGGGCCACACAGAAGTCCAAAATCCCTAGGTTTTTCCAGAACTTCTTTTTCTTTTTAACCAAGCTTTCTCCTTGATTGATTTGATCATCACAGAGTAGCACTAAAAGGATCTCAGAGTTTACTTGGTCCAATTCATTCACTTGGAATCTCTAAAACAATCTGTCTTACGAGGGGAAAATCACAAACATTATTGAGAATTATTGGTGGTTCAGTGAAAACTAATCAACTTAGAAATATTGATTGAACATATCCTGTATTTTTAAGAAACCATATGCTAGGCATAATAGGAATTACAGAGGCATGTAAGCAAGCTCTCTTCTCCATGTTTTTGCAATTTATTTCAGCAGAATAATTAGATGGAAAGTTATATATAGAAATGGAGTAGGGTCTAATGAGAAAATAAATATGTTTAGTCCATGTAAAATGCCCCCACTTACAACAAATAATTATTTTATTTCTACCTCCTTATTCTCTACTGCTACCAACCATGGATGAACTTGAAGACAAACTTCATTCTTCCAAACAGAATACAATACCAAAGTACCTTTTACATGAACACCCTAGAGCAAAACCTCTACACACTGTACTATAATCTTTTGATCAATTTACCTGTAGAGATTACAGATGAAGCAAGGAAGAATTTCTGTAATTTGATAGTGATAATGCCTCATTTTTCAAAGGTTATTCAATAAACAGTTATTGAATACCTTTTATATAATAGGCAGTGTGTTTTGCTTTTGAAATACTCTTAGAAGAATCTCTAAATGGTCATTATTTAAAATACACTTTAGTATTCTTCTAAATGTAAAGCTTCTAAGTAACCATTTTCAGTGTGTTAACTCAACACTTCATAAAGGGGAATAAAGAAACTCCAACATGGTTTAGGAGATCTGATGATACTACATCACCCTCCAATATGACTATCAATTTAGCCTAGTACCAGCCACTAAAGCTCACCCTCAGAAACTGGTTGAAGTGTACTCCTGTGACCAATCAAAATTAATAGTTAATATTTTTAAAGGGGTCACAGGTACTATTATCTCATTTAATGTTTCAACCACTTCATGAGACAGTTACTATTATACAACTCATGAGGAAACAGAAGTATGAAGAGACTAAATGGAAACCAGGCGTGCCAGCTTCTGCATTCCCTCAGCTGCCAGCTCTCCTGCTCTGCACACCAGACACCTGCTTTGTGGCCCCTTGACTCAGTCTACATCATATATGCGTAGAAACCCTAGTACTCCCTGCTCTTCCTTTGGTACACTCAGCAGACCTCATCTCTGTAGTGGTCCAGAGACCTGCAGTGGCTCCAACCCTGGCTCAACAGTACCTTCCTCCGCACCTGCCTGAGGTCCTACTTGCTCCTGCCTCCTCCCTCGGTAAACTTTTGATCATGAGAACTATATTGTAAGGGCTAAAATTCCATGTGCTGCCTTGACATCTTGGAGTCTCCTGGGGTCCCAAAGGTCCACAGGTGTGTTCTGCACTTGCCAGATGTGACCCCTACCCTACCCAGCAGGAAAAGATCCCTCCCAGACCAGCTTCCCTATCAGCCAGACCAGCTCCATCCCACCTTATCTTCAACCCAACTGGTTTCTCTTCCCTACAGTCCAGTGAAATTATCAAAAAAGTCAATCACATCCTCCAAGAGAACCAGGGGTCACCTAACCCTCTTGTCACTACAAAGCCTACCTGTCACAGCCCTGCTGGTTCACTCTGCTTCCAAGTGGACCCCTGTGTGGCCCTGCATGGCATGCAGTGTCTTCTTTCCCTGGATTGAGTGTGTGTGACTAATATAAACTGCTGTCTCATCTGCCCATCATGTGTTTGGCCATCTCATATTAATTAAGGAGGGGGACCCTTCCTTCATCAATGAGGTAAGTAGAAGGCAATACAAGTGCTTCCAGCTAGCTGTTCCCCCAAAATCCTGACTTTTGCCATGTCCTACCTTCTCACTCTTCTAAACACTGTCCTATTCAGTTCAGTTAAGTTCAGTCACTCAGTCATGTCCGACTCTTTGCGACCCCATGAATCGCAGCATGCCAGGCCTCCCTGTCCATCACAAACTCCCGGAGTTTACCTAAACTCATGCCCATAGAGTTGGTGATGCCATCCAGCCATCTCATCCCCTGTTGTCCCCTTCTCCTCCTGCCCCCAATCCCTCCCAGCATCACGGTCTTTTCCAACGAGTCAACTCTTCACATGAGGTGGCCAAAGTATTGGAGTTTCAGCTTCAGCATCAGTCCTTCCAATGAACACCCAGGACTGATCTCCTTCAGGATGGACTTGTTGGATCTCCTTGCAGTCCAAGGGGCTCTCAAGAGTCTTCTCCAACACCACAGTTCAAAAGCATCAATTTTTGGCATTCAGCTTTCTTCACAGTCTAACTCTCACATCCATACATGACCACTGGAAAAACCATAGCCTTGACCAGACAGACCTTTGTTGGCAAAGTAATGTTTCTGCTTTTTAAAATGCTATCTAGGTTGGTCATAACTTTCCTTCCAAGGAGTAAGCATCTTTTAATTTCATGGCTGCAATCACCATCTGCAGTGATTTTGGAGCCCCCAAAAATAAAGTCTGACACTGTTTCCACTGTCTCCCCATCTATTTCCCAGATGCTATGATCTTAGTTTTCTGAATGTTAAGCTTTAAGCCAACTTTTTCACTCTCCTCTTTCACTTTCATCAAGAGGCTTTTTAGTTCCTCTTTACTTTCGGCCATAAGGGTGGTGTCATCTGCATATCTGAGGTTATTGATATTTCTCCCGGCAATCTTGATTCCAGCTTGTGCTTCTTCCAGCCCAGCATTTCTCATGATGTACTCTGCATATAAGTTAAATAAGCAGGGTGAGCCAAATTGGAGGTCAGCCCCAGTTGACCCTAGAAATGAATTTCTGCCACCAAGTAATCAGAAGGAAACTGAGGGATCCTCTCCTGTTGTCTTCTTAGGTCAAGAGAGCAACAGTTGAGAAAAAGCTGCCTACAGGCAAGAACTGGTGGCAAATTACAACATTCCATAAAATCCTCAAAACCAGACCCCAGGTTGAAATGTACATGGGAGTCAGTGGAAAACTGATCAGCAAACACATTTTCAAGCAAATGCTTCCTAAAAAGATCCACTGCTAATGTACATTTCCAACTTGAAAAACCTCCTCTTCTAATCCCCAGTACATGTTTATCGATGA